TGTCAACTGACGGATCTCATCTGGCAGGTTGTTCCAGAGTTTGGGGGCTGTTAAACAACAGCCAAATCAAGAGCAATTTGAAACTAGGAGTTTACCATTTAAGTTTCAGCTCAGCCTTGGGCTTATTGGGTAATCTTAATCTTTCATGCTCTTGTGTGAAATGCAGCCCTGATCAAAGTAACCGATATATGAAATAAACAAACTATGGGCCTCTACAGATGGTGCTTTGAGCCGTCTTGGAGGCAGGGAAGGGGAGGCACAGCCACATGCTGGGCGCCCCAACCCAATGCCAAAGACGTCATCACAGTGCAGCGTCTTAATGCGCTGAGCTGGAAGAGGCGTAAAAGAGCCACGCAGTGGCTCTTGGGGCAGCCTATTTGCTGCCTCTGAAAGGAGCGTCATTTTGGCACTCCTTTCTGAGGTGGCAAAAGGGAGGATTGGCCTCAATCCTTGGCAGCCTTGGCTTCGATCCTCTGTTTCCCAGGGCCACCTGTCTGCTTCCCCCCATTATTATGGTCAAATGATAGCAGTTGAGTGACTTATATCCATTGGTAGCACAGTTATATCATATCAGTTGATGACACAATTATAATGGTCAAAATGTCCTTTTGACAAGTCGGCAGAATTCAAATAGAAGGGGGGGGGAAGGAAATCAGAATGAATCTGATATTCAGGTTGAATGCTTTCTTCTTGGATGTGCTGGTATTTGCTTGATCAGCAAGAAGACCCACAATTCTAAGCCCTGTTGAAGAGTCAAAGAGTATCAAGAGGGTAAAATCAATTATTAAAAGTTAAATTTTTGTTAAGCTGTAAAAAGTCTGGTAATTTATTTTTACAGCTGGTCAGAAAGCTTGTAAAAACATTATTTCAGTCTTAATCTCCTCTCTGCCTCATTAGAGCTGCAGCCAAAGTGAGGTTCTTGCAAAACAGACTGGTGAACTGAGTGTTGATGGTAAAAGATGAACCATGTTAAGTTGACTAGTGGGTGTGGACAGCTGGAAAGAAGACAGTGAGGCAAAGTCATCACTATTGCATTTTCTGCTGAAACAGCTAAAAACTACAATTTGCTCCTAGAAAAACAAAACAATCTTTGGAATATACTTTTTAAAAGCAGTTATTTTTTTTCCTTTTTTTTACTTCTGATGTCCCCAGATTTGCCTGTTTCCTTGGAGATAAGCCCTACTGTGTTCAGTGGGGTCACATGTTGGGGCTTTTACTCAGGTAAATGTGCAAGGGGCCTTCTTTAGCTTCAACTCTGTCATGTTCTAGATCAGGGGTAGGCAACCTTTCCCCTTTAAGGGCCGAG